AAGTCACTATAATTTTTAAAACAGTTTTTCTGTGAAGTTAAAAGGATTGTCTTTTTGAGAACACCACTCTATTTTTGATAATTTTGACCAGTAGACTAAAGCTTTTGTAGTTTGCAGAAGACGCTTGTTTATGCTGCTAAAATTTATTCTTTTTAAGAACTATGCACCAAAGCTTTACCTGATAACAGAATCAATCAATGAACTGAAACTTGCAATGAAACAATGAGTACCCTTTGTCCTTCAGTTTTTTTCGCACTTTACATTTTATATTACTAACGCCAAGTCACTTTTTTTTTGTTGGAAATCCTTGTTTTTTTTTTTGTCTTTCACAACCTTAGAAAAATGTGTCTCTCTCAAGATTATAAGGCAAAATTAAATACAACTCCTCCGTAATTTACATTATAAAAAAATTGATTCTTAAAGTATCTCTTTGACCAGTTTTTTTCTGCTCTTATCTGTGTCTTCAATGCAATAAAACCTTTTCAGAAGTATTTCAAAGGTAGGTCAGAAACTAGAGATTTGAGCTTTGAGCAACTGATTCACTGATAATCATTAGATTTACAATACCACTCTGCGCCACGTATTCATACTGACAAATGTCGCAACATGATACTTTCTGAGCTAATCTCCTATTAATTTTTTGTCCCATACAGAGAGCAATCAATAGTTACTTTTAAACAAAAAACAGAATTTGAGAGCTATGAAACTAGGAATGCTAGGAGCAAACCCAGCAGTGATGCTTCAGATTGGGAAAGAATTTACATTGCTTTGGTTTCAGAAACACACTTGTTTGCTTACTAATTTGGGCAAAGATCATTTTCTAGCTTAAACATGATAATTTTATTTCCGCGACCGCAAATGCCTTGTCCATACTTTATGAAATAGGTTGTTGAGCGCACACCTTGTCATCAGGATTGCTTTCTAGATTAAAAAATTGCTGAGTTTTATTGTTAATCAGTGCTGCTATGAATGCACAATAATTTTTCTGACTATTTTTTTTTTATAAGTGCAAATTTTTTTCTTTTTTGAAATTAGTGAACCTTAAAAATCTTACTGAAAAATGTGGTAGTTATTTCGCTTTATTGTTCAATGCATTCAGCCGTCTTACAAGGAATAAGATAGTAATTGCAAACAAATAATGGTTACAGGAAGCACTACAAGCAATTTGCATGAAAACAGAGTAAAATTGCGCGAGAAGAGTAGCGTGAAAGAATAGGAAAAAAATCATTTACTATAACTCTGTGATAAAGAGGACTGTAGTTTAGTACACCATCTGATTTGCTATTTAAAACAAAGAAACCGTGCGCGTTACAAATGTTTCCCCCGTCGAAATTTCACACGAGAACAACGAAAACAATTATGTGAACCATTCTTCCCCGTCCTTGGTGCATTTTTTTCTAAACTAAGAAATCGCGCTTAAAGAGTAACATTTATTAATATTAGTTTTCTTAATGTTCCACTCAGTCCTTATTTTATTGAATGCCACACTTGACGACTTCTCCTTCAACCATAACTTCCTTCTTTACACTCTGAAAATCTCTTCCTGCTAACTGAATCATTGCTGAAAAGTATAAAACTCATTTCTGGGACAGTTTGCAACCATTCCTTTTTTTTTTTAGCAACATATCAGCATATAAAAGATAGATTTTTCTTTAACTTTTCTAAAGAAAATTTTGTAGAAAAGAAGTCAGAGTAAACATTCAACCACTTTACACTATTCAGTTGTAAAAACTGATGACTGATATGAGGCGCAAGATAATGATGCAATTTTTGTAACTTTACAAATTATTTGTCATTTATTTTGAAATCGTAAATGTTTTTTTTTGTGCGCAAAGTTACACTTTTTTTTTTGCTAGATTTTTTTACTATTTACTTATCGCAGATCAGGTGGTGAGTTTTTATTGGTGAGTATTTTACTGTCACTTCCAACAGTAGTGAACAAGTAAGTGACGAAAGTAGAAAAGGAGTTTTATGTGGTGGAAAATAAATGTGATTCATCAGGTTTAGCTGATTCATAAATTTGATTAATTTTTTAAAGTTTTAAAAGTCTGCAAACAGGTTCTTAAACATAAAGCATGTGCAGTTTTTTTTTTTTGCTGATACCTGTGGGAGGTTTGCAGCTGATATAACGTGGACAACAACAGTTCTTGCGTAAACCGATATCATAAGTGCCGTGTATTTGCAGTCATTTAAACTTCGCCAGTGAAAACAGAACAGAATTGAAAGAATAGGTGTGCAGAAGTGTTGTCAAAAAAAAAAAAACATGTTTTGGGTTCTAAGCAATATATTCGGTTAAAACATTGGTTAGAAGATGAGTAAAATTTTTGATTTACTTCAACTATACTTAACCAGCATTTTTCATTTAAGGTTTATTCAAGATATAGCATTTTTGATAAAATAACTAAATCAACATTAGAGCTTCCTCTTTTAATTATTTAAAATTTATTTATTACGCTACACCGCTATCATAGCCATCTAAAGCAGTCGTATTCCCTCGTTATATCGTTCCACCTGACTGCTAATTTCGCATGCTCAAATACGGTGAATTTTTCAATCTATCGCTCAGAAATTTCACAAGCCATAAGGCAGCATCATAAATCACACAGTTTTGTTTGACTTTTTTCTGATTTGTTGCTTTTTACTTCTCTCTTTTGGATTTAACAATCAAAAAAATAAATTCATTTTTTCTCTGGGCTTTAATCTCAATTATTTTTTATCTTATTTAAAGCCAAGGAGTGGTTCTTTACTGGTAACCGTATAATAATTATTAAAAAAACAGTTACAGAACAAAAAGCCGAGTTGCTATGTAAAGTTTAAAGGGGTGTATTAAATAAAATAATTGCATAGTTAAGAAACGACGTTTTTGGATAGACTGCCGAAAACTATCCCGGCTCAAACTGATCAGAAGAGTTTTAAACATGAAAAGTCATTGATTACGTAGTAGATTTTCGCAAACTATAATTTGACCTTTCTGGTCTAGTCCAAGACTGCTTCTTGCATGTAGCTTAAGTTCTTTTACACCAAAATAGTTTACTCGTTTTTGTTTGTTTAGAAGCAACAATTTTGAACAACAATTGTCATAGTATTTTGTCCGAGTTAATTAACACGCAAATGAAATCACATTGTTTGCTTCACGTAAATGGTATTGAAACTTCAAACGAAATGAATGGTCTATTTGAGAAAACTTGAAGTGAATTCTTTCTAAAATCTATGAAAATTTTCCGGTGTTTTATTTAGTATTTTATCCTTGCTGCAGAACCGCTGTTCAATTTTTTTGATTTACAAGTGTAAAAAGTTTATTGACTAAAGGTTGCCGCCATTCGTCAGCCACAGTTTGTCGAATTTGTTAGACAGTTAGGCAGACTACTTGATTTACTATGTACTTCTTCTGTAATTTGCCAAATTTTTAGACTTTTTGGCCAATAAAATATGCAGAATTTAGAATGTAAAGCGAATTTTCTTGTCAAAAAAAGAGCATCTTATGAAGCGACAAAAGTACTGGATAAATAAAGGTATCAAGAAATTTTAATTTTTATTACAAAATTATACCCAGGGTAACCGCTATGAGTAGTATTGTTGTTCAGTCAGATACTGATAAGGTCAAAAATGGCATCTGAAACACTGTATCAAAGCTTCGTACGTGCTGTTCATCGCCACCGCAGTGCTGTTGCATAGAGCAGAAGCATACATGTCGGCCTTTGTTCCAAAAAAGAAAAAGACATTTGCTTTTCTGGAAGTCGTTCTAAGAGTTTGCTTCTACAAAAAGGATAGCTGTAATTGCTTAGAACTTGAAAAATGGCTTTTGCAGCATAAATGAATCTCGCTAATAATAAAATTTTTGAAAAAACCAAAAATATTTAAAAATTAATGGTTATAAGTCATTTCCTTGACAAGACACTTATTGTCATGGACAGTGGTACTGCACAGAATAATGAGTAATAAACGGGTTAGTAAGCCGAAAGCAGGAAGAAAAGGACGTTGGAAAATAGAGACAATCATATTTTTTAAACTGTTCAGTTCTCTAGATTTAATAAGACTAATAAGTCAGTAGAATGCAAAAAAAGAAAGCTTTAAATGACTATTTTTCTAAAGAATCATTAAACAAAGGAATTATTGACGACTGAAGCTGAGTGAAGAAAAAAAGTGTATGTTTATTTTACGGTTTATTAGGTTGCTGTTATTGATAACATTTATTCAGCATTAACAACTAAAACTTCATTTTAATTTCCAACTCTTTAGCACTACCTTTTTACTTTAATTTCACTGTTAAATTACAGGAATTTTAAGTTTTTTCAAGTCAAGTTTTTTTTTCTGTAAAAAGTATAACTGTTGAAGTTGAAAATCTGTTGGTTTTTTTTGCCTATTTTTATAGTATTTTATTTTTCAAAAAGCTGCTTTTTTTTGAGGTGCAGTTTAGCTGTGTGTTTTTTTCCCAGTTTTAAGGAACTTTTCAACTAAACTTTCATTAATGCTAAAAAATTACGGAGGAAAGAAGCAGAAAGACAAAGACCAAAGAAATTTGTTTTGTAAACGTCTTATCGCGACAGTGAAATATGAGACGATCCAAAATTATCGTTTCTTTATCTCTTCTTTATCTTTCTGCTAAAAATTGTCTACGAATGACGTTTTTACCTTTTCTTGCCAATGCTAATGCATCATGCATTCTTAAAACTTACTATCCGTGTTTTTTTTTATCGAACAAAGCCAAATTTTATGAATCAACAGCATGGCGTCGATCGTTTGCTGTAACTTCCGTTAGTTCTGATTCTTGATAGTAAATCGAATATAAATGGCTAATTACAAAGCGTCGGTTAAAAGCTTTCATTGAAGAACATTATTCCTCAGTTTTATTTTTAAGAAATACAATTCTTCCTATACATGTTAACACAGCAACAGCTGATTTGCAAAAATTTTACTTAAGATTTTTCATAGCTGACATAAAAGTGTCGGGTGAAAAATGAAGTATTAACTTTTAAGCTATTTTTTTTTTTTTTTTAAGCATGATTGGATTTGGCGCCAGGGCAAACTTTCGCGATCAATTTCATCCAGTAAGTAGCACAAATTTTTCAAGTAATTTATCAAATATGCTTAAGAAACGCTTTTCTACTTTTAGAAAAACTGTAATTGACGTTTAGTGGTTCAATTTCTACAAAACTACCAAAAGTTTTTTGTCTGAAAATAGTGTGCATTTTACTTTTTTGGCACAATATATAACACTGAATAAAAATTAAAGTTGAAATGTTTGGTGAGTACTGTTATGAGAATTTATTCAGCAAAGTATATTCACTAAGTAAGCTTAATGCTTTTATCTTTCAATAATTACAACAGTTTGAAACTTGAATTTAGTATGCATTTAAGAAGAATAAAGTTTTTACTTTTTTTTTCCAACAAATTTAATCAACTATTTGCTGCTTAGCAAGATTGTAAAACCAATAGTTTCATCTTTTAGCCAACTCCATATGAGACATGGCTAAGAGGTTTCACAGCTGGCAACAGAATTCGTGTCGTCGGTATATCAGGACCAGAAGCAAGGAGATTTGCGGTAACTTTTTTTTCTTGTGGAAATACTGGTAAAATAATTGTTTTTTGTCCTTTTTTTTTTGGTGCCTCTTGTTTTATCCATTCTTCCTCATTTTTTACTCTTTCTTTGCAGATTAATTTACTAGCTGGTCAAGAATATGTGTTTCACTACAATGCACGATTTGACGTAATACATTTATGTGTTTTCCAGTTTTTTTTGAACTTAATCTGGTATCATAATTGAAAGTTTACCCGTTGGTTGAATATTTAATAACTTGTTTTTTACTTGTTTAACACATGCTACATTTATTTTGTGCTTAGGAGAGAGCTGTTGTGCGAAACAGTACCAAGTATGGAGCTTGGCAACAAGAAGAACGACAAGAATCTACATTTCCATTCCAGAAGGATTCATTTTTCACCGTAGATTTATTGGCTGGAGCCAATGAAGTTGCGGTAAGTAAAATGAATCATTTTTTTTTAATGTTATCAATACTACTGCTTCTATTTTTTTGGCTTTATAAAAACAAATAGTTTTAGAGTCAGATTTTCAATAACATAAGTGACATTTGCTGGCAGATTCAATAGCACTTTTAATAATCCTAAAAGATATCTGATAAAAAATACAATAGAAATTGTTTTGATCAGTTTTTTTTGGTGTATTTAATTTAGGTGAACGTCAATGGAACATATCATTGTACCTTTACATATCGCGATGATCCACGAGCGGTGACAACATTAAATATAAATGGCGATATAAGATTACATAACGTTCAAGTTTTTGCATAGTTTTCGGGCAAGCAAAAAAAAAACAGCCTTTCTTCTTCTCTTGATTTTTCATCTTAGTTTTAAAACCTGTGTTAAATATTGGTAACTCAATGTTGTTGTTAATGTTTCAGTTTTCTGTTTGTGTGTGTGTGTGTTAATTCTTTCAGAATAAAATTATTTACAATCAATTTATTCTTCCATTTTTTTTTCTCCCTTCTTTTTCTGCTGTTCCCAATTCTTCTTTTAGTTCAACTAACACAATGATAAATAATAGTTAAGCATTGTTAAACACACACACACACAAAAAATAATAATAATTTCCTTTAGTTTTTCCAGTTTACAATTTTTTTGTTGTTATTTTATAAGTTAATAAAGAAGAAAATAGACAAACTTTCTTTTCTTCTGTTGCTTCTTTCTTTTTTGGCTTCTACTGTTGTTTGACAAAATAAGAGTTGAATGCCATTAAACTGGGATATCAAAT